CATCAGAAATGCTTCCCAATATTGACTTTATTATCAGTAAAATGCCTAAAGAAGTTTTTTTTGTAGTTCTTCCACCTACTCTGTAATTGGAAATAAAATTTCATTATATATCATGTATAAGCAATTCCTGTTAGGTCTGACACAATCTATTTTATTTTGTCAGCTATTTTAACACATTATATGGTATAACTGTATTGAATTTCCTTAAAAACCACCCAGTTTTCAAGAGAAAAAGCATCAAATTTTATTTTAGCACAGAAAATTTAACTTGAACCTCTAACGCAAGCCTCCCTTAAAAAAATAAGTCATCTCTTTATGGCAACATGTTTGTATCTCTACTACAACAAACTGAAGCACTCAAGTAAAAGTCAGAAATCTAAACTTTGGGCACTGCTGTTCAATGTCTTTTAGGGAGAACAGCACATAACACAGTGGCACACAAACCTCGCACAGATAAGAATTCTTACATCATCTATTAGTTGAAGAAATTGTCATTACAACAGCCTGGACAAACTATAGCAGTCTCACATTGCTGAACAAGAAAGTTATTCACTATTTTCCTTCACACTGTTTGAAGAGCAGAAACAAATGCATACTGAGCAGCAGAGTCAGACAGTTGCTCTAATCAGCCCCATGGCTTACCTTAAAGGAAACTCAGGGAGGAGAAAAACAAGCAGTGGAGAAAACTCCTAGAGGTAAATAGCACTGCATGCTACCAGCCTGGGAGGTACTAGTTAAAAGAAAGATTTGTAAGCACGTTGCATGAATCAGTAAATGGAGTCTAACAGCAAAAGCACATACGATGAACTAAAATGTATTCCAAAGAATTGTTTCAAACAAATTACATTATTAGGTCTACCTATGAAGAGACAAGGGTAACAAAACAGCTTGTAGTTTTCTCTCCCTAAAAAAAAAAAAAAACCAACCCAAAAAGGCTACAGTTCAATGTCTAGAAACCCCAAGAGTGCAATCCACAGCAACTTTAGCAACTTTTCCTGACAAGTATGCATGTGATGAAATTGCTTTCCTTCGACAGCACTTTAGTCCTGGAGTGTTCCTATTTCCTGTTACAAGTGCACCGATAATAAAAAAGCTCACAATGAAAGCGATATTGCACTGAGTATTAGCAGGAGCAGCCAAAAAGATTTAAGTAATCTGCAAAAGTTACATCAGAAATTAATGATGGTATTGTTCACTCGCTGTACACATTTTGGCTCCTGTTTGAAGTGAGCAGAACAAGAGACTTACTACCAGTTTTGTAGGGAGGCAGAGCGTACAGTGTAAAAGTCTCACTGTAAGAAACAATCTCAGTTTGCTCATCCCTCTGGCAGCTTGTACTTGGCTCCTACGGTCATTCTGAACATTAACTCATTTATTTCATGGCCTATTAACACACATTTTTCATTCATCTGCCCTACCCAAACAAATTCTTCCAATAACTGAAAAGATTTTCTGACATTTCTCTAGTTTTCCAATAACCAATCACACCTTAAAAATGACCACTATATACTATTTACAGAAGTTCGGCATTATCAAAGAAATCTGACCTTATCTGAATTAGATCTGTAGCACTGAAAGGCTACTGCCATTTTCCTTTGACCACTCTCATTTATCTGATTAAAATATTGAGCTCAGAAAGAAAGCCTACTTGAGAATAAATTAGAAGAAAATAGCAGAACTGCTCGGCCCTAAGTTCTACCAAATGTCGGTCCACGCAGACGGAGCATTTGTGCAGAGCCGAATACATCTGTCTTT